GATAGATAGATAGATAGATAGATAGATAGATAGATAGATAGATAGATGATAGATAGATAGATAGAGATAGATGGTATTCAGCAGGTTCTGACCAGTTCTAGAGAACCGGTAGCGGAAATTTTGAATAGTTTGGAGAGCCAGCAAATCCCACCTCTGACTCGAGATTTTACAATATCCTTCCCCTGCCACCCCCACCAAGCCATGCCCACAGAACCAGTAGTAAAAAAAATTGAATCCCACCACTGGATACATAGATATAGACAACAGACAGACAGATAGATATAGCTAGGTATAAACATACATTGGGGTACCACAACCGCATGTTGCTGCAAATAGCCTGTGTGTGTGTGTGTGTGTGTGTGTGTGTGTGTATACTGTATATGTATATATCATATGGCAATTGGCATTTATTTCCAGTTTCCAGCAAAAACCGTCCAATTGTGACAAGTCAGTAGTTGTTACAGGTAGTTCTCAACTTACAACTATTCATTTAGCGACTGTTTATAAAGTTGCAAAGGCCCTAACCACAGGTCTTGCCACGTACGACTCTCACAACATCCTCATGGTCATATGATGTAAACTGAGGTGCTTGGCATGTATGGATGACCGTTGCAGGGTCCCAGAGTCATGGGATCACCTTTGGTGACTTTCTGAGTCTTTGGCGACTTTTCTAAGTCCGTGAGGAAGCCAGTTTCCTAGCTTAACAACTGCAGCGACTCACTTAAGCCGCTGCGGCAATAAACTGGGGCAAAACTCACCCAGCCGTTCTCTTGCTGAGCAAGTTGTAATCGTTAAGTCAAGGGCGATACATACAATCGGCTGTGACTCACTGAACTGCCTTGCGGCTGGGAAATGGTGCTCTAGGTGGTGGTTGTTAAGTCAGGAACTTCCTCTGAGCCACAATTTGCTGGATACTTTTTTGGGAGAGCAAAGGTAGCCACCCAAATTTATTTACCTACCTATTTATTTATTTACCTGCCATAGACTGATGCCTGCCTGCCTGAACATCGTTATGATTTTATTCGCTTCCACTTTTCAGACAATCAGTTCAAACCCAAACCTCGCCTAAAGCCAGCGGTCAACCGAAGGGCCATGTCTGTTCATGAAGAGCAGCTCAGGGACCAGGCTTGTGCGGCCGAGCTTCACCGTAAGTAAATTCAATCAATCCCTAGACCCTAGACCAGTTCAACCAATCAATTGGTAAGAGGAGGGAGCTTGGGGGTAGACTGACAACCTTCTTCTCTTCACAAGGAAGAAACTTTTATCTAATTGAAAGACTTCCAAAAAGCAGATGCGGGGGAGAGAATGGAATAGAATAGAATAGAATAGAATAGAATAGAGTAGAGTAGAGTAGAGTAGAGTAGAGTAGAGTAGGGTAGGGTAGGGTAGGGTAGGGTAGGGTAGGGTAGGGTAGGGTAGGGTAGGAGAGAACAGAATCAAAGTAATATTTATTAGATAGATAGAATGAATATCAAATTCTTTTATTGGCCAAGTGTGTTTGGACACACAGGAATTTATCTTGGTGCAAATGCTCTCAGTGTACATAAAAGAAAAAACACATTCGTCAACAGTCAAGAATCATCAGGTACAACACTTAATAATAGTCGTAGGGTACAATAAGCAATCAAATCATACTAGGAAACAGTCAATATAAATTGTAAGGATACAAGCAACAAGGTTACAGTCATACAGTCACAGCTGGGAAGAGCTGGGTGATAAGGAGTGATGAGAAGATTAACAGTAATAGTAGAGCACACTTGGTAAATAGTTGAACAGTGTTGAGGGAATTATTTGTTTAGCCGAGTGATGGCGTTCGGGGAAAAACTGCCCTTGTGTCCAGTTGTTCTGGTGTGCATAGCGTCGTTTTGAGGGAAGGAGTTGAAACAGTTTAGGTCCAGGATGTGAGGGGTCTGTATATATTTCCACAAAAATGCTGATTCCTCCCAAAAAATCTGAGATAAAATCTCCTTTCCAAGTTAATGTTTCTATGAGTCATTTCAGATGTTGTTAATGTTTAAGAAGAAATGTCTATATTGCCTGAAACTACAACAAATGCTTCCTTGTAATCATGCAAAGTGGAGGTGAGGCCAATAGGGAAATTTATGATGTTTAATCAGAGTGCAGATCGATAGTGCAGTATCTATTAAAGAAAAGGTTTTGATGGGCTCATTTCAATTTTCCATCCTTATTATGGGTTATTGTATCGCAGAATGTAAATTGGCGCAACCATTAATTTTCACCTACGTTTTAGGTGAAGATCAGGTGCCTTTTAGGCTGAGGGATGGAGAGAGTTAATGCGTACGGGGAAGGGAAGAGAAAGTACAATTACCTATTGATAAGGGATGAGCAGACGACGATAGGAACCTGAAATAGTGGTCGTCTTTTACTTATGACCACAGTGGATAGCAGAATTTCCATTGCTAAGCAAAGCTTAAGCAAAGGCTGAGACGCCTCCCTTTTTACAAGTTTTGCCATGGTGGTTAAGCAACCATGGCAGCTGTTCAGTTAATCCTGGAAAGTCCTTAAGCAAATCCAGCTTAAAGATGTGAACATTTCAGTTGTATATCATGCTACCAAAGGAGCTCATTTGCCCATGATAAATAGCTGGAAACAAAGACATAGACTGTGCAGTACATGCTCATTCAAATGTAGACCTAATAAAGTACAAAAATTATGTCAATTGTGAAGAAACAACAGCAACATTCTACTTCAGCGAAGTAATATAGCTGTATCCTAAAGCAGGCATCTCCAACCTTGGCAACTTTAAGACTTGTGGACTTCAACTCCCAGAGTTCCTCAGCCAGTTTTGCTGGCTGGGGAACTCTGGGAGTTGAAGACCACAAGTCTTAAAGTTGCCAAGGTTGGAGACCCCTGTCCTAAAGGATACAGGGCCTGATCTGCAGCTGCTGCTATAGACTCAAAGCAGGAGCCCATTTCCCAGAAGGTAAAAATGAGGTGTCTGGCCACCAACAGCTCTGCTGAAGCATGGTTTTTACATCAGTGTGTGATCTACATCCTGAATTACACCCGGCACACTTTTGTTCTGGATTGCGAGGTCTCTTTTCTAGATCTGGTTAACAGGGCCTGCATTCCTTTACAGATGCAAAATTCCCTCTTTCTTTGCAACGCTCCCCGATTCTGAAATGGAAGACTAAGCCCAAGTTGCTTTTGGAGACTGGACCATCTGCACCCTCGGATTCTCTAGGTAAGAGAGAAATACCCCAACTTTACTCTTCCTAGATATAAACTCATCTTCTAAATTGTAAACGTCTCCCACATTCATTCCAAAGTTTTAGGACTGGACTACTTCGATCATTAATAGCAATAGAGTTATAGTCCGCTTCACAATGCTTTACCGCCCTCTCTGAGCAGTTTACAGCCTCTTGCAATCTGGGCCCTCAGTTTACCCACCTCGGAAGGATGGAAGGCTGAGTCAACCTTGAGCCTGGTGAGATTTGAACTGCCAAATTGCAGGCAGCCAGCAGGTAACAGAAGTAGCCTGCAGTACTGCACTCTAACCACTGCGCAAACCGTGGCTCACAATCAAAGCTTAGAAGAATCACATAAAATGCTCAGCCAACCTTCATTTAGTGCCTATGTCGTTTGACGAGCATTAAAGCATCTTTTACATGAGGGACTAGAGCAGGGGGGGTCTTTAAGACTCGTGGACTTCAACTCCCAGAATTCCTCCTCCAGTCATGTTAGCTCAGGAATTCAGGGAGTTGAAGTCCACAAGTCCTAAACTTGCCAAGTTTGAAGACCCTCGGACTAGAGGTTCTCTCAGTCCTGATTTCTTGGGGTCCCCTTGCTTCCGGGAATTGGGCTGTTGTCAATCAATCCAGTTGTGATGACCATTTGTGGGAACTTTTTTCTAGGCCCTCCCCCACAAGAACAGAATGTGGTTGCCTCCGACTCGAGAGCAGAAACAGAAGAGTTGCCCCAGGCTACAGAACAAACTCTAAAGAATGCACAAAATACAGCGCTAGACCAAAGAACTGCTGTGCCCCTCTCCAAGTCTCCAATACATGAGCATTGAATGATTTCTGCATGATGGCCGCTCCGTTGAAGGACAGAGGGAAGGCTTACGGTTTGAAGCAACAGCCAGCGGTGAGGGTGCGAAGAGTTCTTTGGTACAAGGATGAGCAAGGGACCTGCCCTCCCATAGCTCCTTGGCTGGAAGAACTGGGATTTCCAGTGATGGATAGTGGCATCTTAATCTCCTGCACGTCTTTTCTGGATCGCCTCGTTTCATCTTTCATCCTTGTACACGCTCATCAAAGTGCCCAGTATTCTAATGGTTTGTGTGAGGAAAGCCAAAATCTCCAGTCTGCCGGAAACTGGCCTTTTCCAGCAGACCTTGTACAGTTGGTACCAGATGTGACAAATGTTATAGTGCCAGAAACTCAGAACCACCAGCAGGCGGGATGGGGGTTGTTTTACATACACTAAACTTGCTTGCCTTGCATTGTATGTTTTGGAAGTTTGAGAGTAGGCTAGTTTGTGGTTTGTAGGGGAGTTAAAAGCAGGCACTCGGTTAATCCAGGTACATGTCTCTCGTAACAAACTTACTCCGCTACCATCCTATACCCCATTTGCCCTTAAGGTCTTATTTCCTTATGTCCACATCCTTTTGCAGTCTAGGAACGAAACTCTCATGCTAGAACCAATATCTGCTGGCACCGATGAGAGGCTTGGCGTGAACAAGGTAGGAGGAACGATGTGCATTATAGCAGCTTTCAGCCACGTTTAACCCAAATCAGGTTGTAGTTCCTCCTGTCTGCAATTAAATCTTGGAAATTGCAATTGTTCCCATCTCATTTATTCTATGTTATTAGGCCTCTCCTCTCAGCTTCATTTAACATTGCTACAAGATTCAGCAGTGCTTTGCTGTGGCAGAGAAAACGGAAGGAACGGAGAAGACTTCACATCTATCATGGGAAGATGTGAGGGCAACACACCAAGCTTGGTGTTTCTGTTCAAACTCATTGTGAAGATGCTTAACCCCGTAGCCTTGTCTCACGAACCAGGATGTGCAGCCTTCTTATAGGAAACACACCTTTACTCTAATCCATTGGCTTTCAAGGAGGCTCTAGGAAATAGTTTTTACAATATGAATTGCTTAACTTATTACAGCTCCTTACATCCGACGCACTAGCACATAGACGAAAGGGTACGTACATATTTCTCCACACTGATAGCCTGCAACTAAACACTGTGTTAAATATAGTTACATACTATGAAAAAAAATGCAGCTGTTTCGTAGAGTATTCGGTACTTTCACCACTAGCCTTTTTTTCAGACACTGGAAGAAAAAAATATGTGGTGCTCTGCTAATCTGTGTTATATTCCCCAGAGGATTGGAAAAGTTATACAGCTTTCAGCTGAGAGGTTCCCAGCCAAATGTGGAAAGTTCAGGATCCCATCATCTGAAGGCATCCTTTGAGGAAGATGGAAAAGGCTTTTGCTTCCGGCTATCGGTGCATTTGGATTGAGAGAACAAGGAAGAATTATGAACCACACCACAGTTAAGATAATGGAGGATATATGCAGGTGCAGAGTTCTCACAACAGTGTCTACTAGTGTAACGCCACATACACACGAACCTGTTTCAACACAGATAACGTTTTGGCATAATGGCTCAATTACCAATCATCCTCAACCGCAAGAGATGCTCAGTAGGAGTTGAGCTCCTTGTAACTGTACTTGGGTATCTGCCATCTATTACCAGATGATTATTGCATGCATCTTTTAAAAATATTCTAGCACAAATAGCCAACTTATTTACATTAAGGTCCTTATTTTAAAGCAAAGAATCACAGAATGTTATTTTAACTTTCAAACTATGTTTGAGTGACTGTGCTCGGATTTGGAAAATTGGCACACAAGGTATATTTTTTATCGAGAGCTGTGCTGTTGTATTTTTCCTAATTTGTTTTAATTTTCAAAACATTTTATCAAGCATGTAAGCTATATGAAGTATTTTGTAATTAAATGAAAGGAGGAGATGACAAAAATAATTAAAAATAAGCATTTTAATTCACACTGATGTTGGCATACAATTGTTTATTACCTTTATGGCATTTTTTTTTTTTTTTAGAAATATATACTGCTGTAGAAACCATCACTTAAAACAAGTAATGTTTAATTTGTGTAGCATTTCACTAGATGTATTTCTATTAGAGTAATGAACGTTTTACCGTCTTCCATATGGTCTTTCTCAATGCCACACTCAAGTTACCTTAATGACACGTAACTGTCCTAATATATCTGTCTCCTGAAATGCTCTACAAAATTAGCATTGCTTTCCTGCATAGTTATCTAATGGTAGAAAACTGAGAACAGACAAGGAAACTTTTTATTTATACAATTCTAAACTATGAAAGCTACAAGAAGCAATTACATCCATTTTGTAATGTTCTCAAAGAGATAAAACAGATTCATGAGTATCAGACATAACCTGTAACTTGCCACTTTAGAAGCAAAAAAGATATAAATTCTGTCACCGGAGAATAACATCAGAGTTGGTATTTGTCTTCATGTGTTGCAGGCTTACTACTGACATCTCACTCTCACTGCAACAAACCAGACTGGAATTGTACCCATAAATGAAATGAAATGTATTCTTAACTGCATTAAAAACCACTATGTGGTCCTAGCTACATGCTACTGTTTTATGGATTTACTCTCTACAAACTCTTGGAATTCTAAGGCACAAGAAAATTGTGTAACATGTCAAATTTAGACAGAGAATATACTTCTCTGTCTAAAGTGTAAGTCTCTTAAAGGGAGCAAAATGAATACAATAATTTGAACAATTCCTGGACCAGCTCTACGGCACGCAGGCTACAGATCCTCTCTAACTTCAAAAATGGACATGCTCCTTAAAATACCTGCAAATCCCTTATCACAGACAAAATTACAGGTTTTGCATGCCAGGGCTCACTAGTTTTAGGAACTGTGCTTTCCATAGGTCAACTTTTAAAGACTAAATTTCTTTGCATTGTATTTACAATCAACTGTAAAAAAAAAAAACCCAGCTTCCCCATACTTAAAAACAACTCTTTATCTTTGTGACATACAAGACAAGCTGTAACGGTTGCCAGTTTGTTTTAACAAGTTACAAAGCAAAAACATACAAACCACTTTGCATTTACAGCTGAGTCCCACTTATAGTGTATGTAAATAGTCGCATTATGTCTTATGGCATTGTCATTCTGCCATCCTTAAAAGAAGCAGGTGGCACGTCTTGGTTATCAAAAATCAAAGCCATCTTTGCTCGAGGCATCCAAACCACCTTAGATGAAAAGGTGATGCCTTCCTTTTTTTTTTCCTGTATGTGAAATTGAAACAACTTCTATCTTCAGAAGAACAGAATTAAAAAACCAAACAGCTGAACCAGAACAAAAGTGTAATTCAACCTGAGATCATAGAATCTTTGCTAAGTTTATTGCTTCTCTGCCTTGGTGAAAACCCAGCGTGCCCATCCCAGTAATGCTCTTGAGATCCTAGAGATCAAAAAGAAGAAACATGAAAGCATCAGACCTGAAGGTAAGCAAATATTCAAATGTGCTGGGTCTTGGGAGCCAAAATATGGGGTTATTAGCAAGATTTCAAGGAAAGCGGCAGTCGCTGCACAAATTGTTCTCCATTAATATATGGTTGTTCTGGCCCAGCACATATAACGTAGACCCTTCCCCCATGATACGTGTGACTAGCCAAGAAAGAGACTAACCTTACAGACTGCACTTGAGAGCGGAGGTCTGGTGTGGGTGCGTTGCGTTTAAGATGAACACCGTTTCCTTCCCCATTCTCCTAAGAGCGAAAGAGAGAGAAAGAGAGAGAGAGAGAGAAAAGCAAAGTGAATCCTTGTTTTTTAAAATTCTGCTCATATTGAAATTGCTATTTTGGAACACTTTGAGGATGAGAGAAGGTGTTTAGTGAGAAATCAACAATATGGTTGCTGGGCTTTAAGTGCCACCCAAATTACAAGCAGTCCTTGACTTACAACAGCTCATTTAGTGACCGTTCATCATTACAACAGCACTGGGAAAAAAAGGGACAACCATTTTTCACACTTATGACCATTGCAGCATCCCCATCAAAATTCGGACGCTTGGCAACTGGCTCCTATTTATGACGGCTGCAATGTCCCGGGGTCAGGCGATCCCCTTTTGCAAGCTTCTGACAAGCCAAGTCAACGGGGAAGCTGGATTCACTTAACAATTGCAGTGATTCACTTAACGAATGTCTCAGCCATAAACTCTGGGCTCAATTGTGGTCCTAAGTTCCACAAATGGGAAAACCTCATGTTAAATGTTGCCACTTTATGGTTTCTCACTAGATAGAATTACAGATCGTCCTAAACTCACAACAGTGGTATAGTAACTGTTTGAACTAATGACACACACATTCCCCCACCCCCCAAAAAGGTACATACAATCTTATTCTGAAGTTCTGACAACTACCTGCTAGTTATTTTGGGTTTTTGGCAACCAGCCAGCATTTATGGCTGTTTGCAGGTGTCTGTGGTCACAGGACTCCGGTTTATGATGTTTTTGCCGAAAAACCAGGGTTTATTTCTGATTCCTGGCAAAAATCCCTCCTTAGTACACAATGAATTTACCTGAAGGACCCACCTTGAAAAAGTGATAAAATCTAGTTGGTCATTTGACAGGCTCAATTATGGCAAAGTCAAGGATTACCTGCATCGGCGATGTTTGACTGATTTGAATATTAAATTTATACTGGCAACCAAAACTTAACTACAAAACAAGCCCGAGAGAAAAGACGGGAATTCCCTTTGCAAAGAGTCACTAATTCCACTCTGACTCTGGTCACGAAACAAAGCTATAGAGAGGTTTATTATTATTTTCCTTTGCTCAGATGGCAGATTTACCTTTTGTTGAACTCCAATTTGCTTTGATTTCCTCCTGGTGACCCTTCCTATTGGTTCCTCCTCGCTTTTTTCTTCTAGAGATCTCTCTCTACAACTGCGACGGGCAAATACATAGGATCGCTCATCCTGAATCTCCCCCAGCCGCCTTTTCTTGGGGGTGCTTTCAAATTTCAAGGGAAGGAACTGATTTACACGTCTCTTATTTGGAGTATTAGTTTTTGTAACGGTCTCAGTAGAGCAATGCCCTACGGCTTCCAGGTTGTTACTACTACAAGTTGGAGTAGAAGTCGCAGAAGGTTCTCCTTCATTTGGCACCTGTTTCCTTTGAGCTGACACGTATTTCTCAGTTTCAAAGTATTTCCACCTAGCTGTCATCCCTTTAGCTCCATGGGCAAGGGATAGACAATCCTTCCTATTTTCAGACACCGG